TTCCTCAGGCAATCAGTAACTCCCTTCTCCATAATTCAGAAATACAGTGAAGACCATGTTAGGAACATTTGTCACCCCAAGTCAACGTTAGTCATTTAATTATTGTTTGCCTTCTCTGGACCCCATTAGAGTACAGATGACTGGGGCTTACTTAATTATCTGTGTATGCCTCAGACATACAAACAAATACAAGAAAATGACCTCACAATCTCTCCTCTAAAACTCTACAGTGCAGGCTGGGGAGATGGTTCAATAGGTAGAGTGCTTGCTACCCAAGGACAAGGACCTGAGCTGAATTGTGTGAATTCCCAAACTGATACTAAAAACCTGGGCTAGAGCCATTTGTTTATAATTGCTGCACTAGGGAGTCAGAGATAGGGGCATCCTCAGAACTGGTCAGCCTAGCCAGATTGGCGAGCTCCAGCTTCAGTGAGAAACACCATCTGGAAGAACAAGATGGCATGAGGTTGAAGAAGACAGCCAGCATCAGTCAACCTATGATCTCCACACATATGTATACACCTGGGCATACACATGTACAAGCACAGACCCACTCTGACACACATGCCCCTCCCAATGAACAAATAATAAATATGTAAGATAAAAATCTAGAGTAAAATTCAGAGTTTTAAATGAATTTTAGAATGTGTTCATCTGTGATCAGCGCATTGTTTAATAATATTCCCACATGGCCTACATCAGCCCCCCCCCAATAAAATACACTATATATATAATACAGATATTCATACTTAATACAAATAAAGATACAATGGCCTCAGCATGGGTGCGGCACACGCCTTTATTCCCAACACTCAGGAGGCAGAAGCAGGCAGATCTCTGTGAGTTTGAGGCCAGCCTGTTAGAGAGTGGGGGCAGGAATAAAGGGGGGTCCAAGACAGCTAGGGCTATTACACGGAGAACCCTTGTCTTGAAAACAACAGCAAAGATATAATGACCTCATAAACTCAGATTAGATTTTGTTACCAAGTGTGTTTGTTACAAACTTGTGAAAATTATTTGTTTTTTATAGACTTTTTTAAATTTTAGAGTTGTGAAGAAGTAATTACAGGCATTGACAGACAACTGCAGTATTTCACTAAGTCTTTGAAAGTGATGGATTTGGAACATGATATTAATCTATCTTTCTTAAAAATATTCTTGGGATAATAAGCACGTGTAATCATGTCCGATTCAGCAACTATTTCAAAACCAATTCATCTTCATTCATCTTGTGAAGATGACCTGTTTGCTTCTTAATACCTCATTTTATAGATACCAGTAGTACTTTGCCCTTTAATATCATTTTCATTATTATAATACTGCAAAAGTAAAATTCAGTAAAAACCTCCTTTGATAATATTAGTGCTGTCTCAGATATTACAGTATACAAAGTATCTTTCAAGCATGAAAAAATTTCCAATAAAAATGTATCTTCCTGATCATCAGAGGATGCCGGCTAGCCTGAGATGAAAGGACCAATGTCTCTGTGTGTTTTGCTTCATTCCTAATAATGCTGCCTTCAGTTCTTCATGAAGCACAACTTCTAACCCCAATGCCGCCATGGGTTTGCTCTTTTGTAATGGAGCCCAAGTGACTTCCAAGGACTCTGGGTAATGCTGTTGAACTCCAAGTCAGGTTGAAATCTTTATTTAATTAATATTATCAGAGGTCACTGACTCAAAATCCAATTAAATGAGGTCTTTACTGTTGTCAACCTTGAAGATCAGTCATGGTGGAATAGAAGTGTTATTAAATATGGGGGTCACAGCTTGTGTCCCAAGCCAGGTTCAGCCACCTTCCCTCAATAGGCTAATTAAATAAGCCAAGTTAATAGCAAAACTCAGGAAAAGGAAATTTATTCATTATGGTTACACTGGGAAGAGGAACAAAGAGCTCCAACAAAAACCCCATCTGTCTTCCAGTCTTGAAGTTATACTAGAGTTTAAACACAGGGCCAAGGGTGGAGGGGGATTCAGGAGGAGTTGGAGAAGGGGAAAGGACATAACCAAAATATATTGTCTGAAAAAATAAATATGAATAAATAAATAGAGGGTCAAGGATGGTAACATCTAAGCAGTCCCAGTCAAGGTATGGTACCACCTACCACTGACCCATCCTTGTCTGAACTTCAATCGCATTCTGGAAGGTGCTCTGACAAGCTGCTACAACCAATATTCAATATACTTAGTCCAGCTGAATTGTCACATAATGTTATCCAGCACAGGAAAAGGTTGAAAAAATAAGTACTTATAATCTACACAATACTCAACAGCACTAAAAATAAAGATGAAGTGTGTTGTACTAAACTTGACAACAACTTTCTCACTCACATTCAAGCCAGTGTACATAGACAGCCTACTGATACCCCAGTGTTGCTTGAGGTTCTCTTGTCCTACCAGGTCCCATAGCTGTTTCTGCCCCAAATAAACACATGTATGCTATATTAGTTATAAAAGTGTTGGCCAATGACTAGGGCTTCCTATTGACTAACTCTGTCTTAATTATTAACTAGTAATCTATGTATTTCTACATGGCCTTAACTTACTGGAGAACACCTCGTGCATCCTATCCTCCTGGTCCTTCCATGGCATCTCTTCACCGTCTCTCTCTGCCTACCTTTCCCAGAATTCTCCCCATCACCTAGTCCCTGCCTCTATTGGCCAAGCAGTGTTTTATCCATTAACCAATAAGAAAAACATATGTACAGAAGGACCTCCCCCATCACTCTAATAAGGAACTTTCAGCATAGTTGGAACAGAGACTTGTGACTGGAAGACTGGAAGACTTCATGTTACTTGTGACAGAGGGAGCCATTTGCAAAACACAACCTGTTTTATTGATAATTTATATTTTCTATTATAGTAAAATCTGTAATGCACTTTATTTCCATCAGTGAAATATCAAAATCTTAGGATTTTGAAATTTGTTACTAAGAATTTAATAATGTATCCCAGGCCTCAACATATTTATAAATAGGTACTTAGAGACAGCTTGGAGACTCTAACCACTTTGGATTCACTTAATTGGTTTTCAGACTTTCCTTCTAAGTAAGCCAGCATTCAATTAGTCAATGGCATGTTTTCACAATAGTTTAACTGGCAATGGCAGGGTATGGGCTTAAAACCCACTCCACCACGAGTCACAGATGCCCGCCTTTCTTATTTGTTATTCATCAGTATCCCTACCCTCAGTTCTTTTAAATCACACCTCCCTTCACATTTACCAACTTAATGAGCCCAAGAAAATGAAAAAGAAATGGAGTCTTAAAAATCCCCTCGGAAGGTTCTTTGAGATTCCAAGCTAGATGTCAGAGAGCCAGGAGTGTGAGCGAGTGATCTAAAATAAGAGCTGGCAGCAGAAGCGTACCAGCTGCTACACATTTACCAGCCCAGCTTCATTTTCCCTCCCTCTGGGCTGGATAGTTCCAAAGGGCCAATCTCAACCTTATTTGGATTAAATTTATGCTATTCACATGAGAGGGCTGCCCCTGAAAGCTTGCGTGTTCACTTTTCTACTTCAGTGTTTGTACTTAATTCACACACCACTGATGCCGTATAATATTTTTGTGATGGGGATGCCACCATTGTAACCCTGGAGGAAGAAACTCTGATCTATTTGTTAATCAAAATGATGACATAAAATTCAATCAATCTTAGTGATAGAAAAAAAACCCTATGAATACACAGAAATGGCATTCTTCAACTCCTTTTTAATGTGGTTTTTGTTTGTTTTTAAAATGCTAAAATACACTTGGTGTTACTTGTTCACAAGAGCTGGATTGTTAAAGACACTACATGTCCTGATTAAAGAACAGAGATATCATCTGGAACTGGCCCTGAAATTTCCTCCCTGCTCTCCTGGTGCTAGAAGGTGCTGTGTAGGCTGTGGAAGGAGGGAAACTCACCCAGCTGTGGACCCTAGATACAATACTGCTGTTTGGTGAGGCAAAATGAACCTTAATGGCATATTAGTGGTGCATTAGTGGATTGTCTTTGGGGGAATAGCCAATGTCCTGATTGGATCTTAGGCCAATTTTACAGGAAAGAATTCATGTCTAGTACTATAGGTCCAGTTTAAAGTCTATGGCTAGAGAAGTTGCAGGCCCTTTTGGGGAAGTCTCTGCTGTTGTTTTGTTAAATGGACATGAAGTGCCTATCAAAATTCCTTCTAAGTAATCACACTATGTCCAAAGAAGAGTGTTGCTGTCAGCCTTGGTCAGTTATAATACTCTGTTTGGCAAGCTTCCTTTTGTTGTCATCACTATAACTTCAGGCCATAGTAGGGAGAATGAGTGACTTTTGGATGTTCATCCATAAATGGGACAGATGTATTACCCCCACCATAATGTCACGAAATATCTCACAAAGCAGGCATAGTGGATATAGAACCAATGGTAGTGGAGGGAAATTCTGTGCATCACTGACTTCCAGACATGACATGGTTGTTGCACTCTTGAACTGATAGCAACTGTGATTAACAACAGAGGAGCTACATAAGAATGTGCCAGTGGACATCCTGTCATGGAGTGGAGAGGAGTTCATGGGGCTCCAAGGCTCCCTCGGAATTATTCACACTAAATAGTTGATGGAGGAGGGAGAGAGATTTTATCCAGTGGTGTGGTTCCTGGCAAGGTATTCATACTCCTCTCAGCAAATCCTGACCCATGCTCCTGTAACAGCCCTAATTAATCTCATCATCAAATAAAGGAAAGAGGGGGAAATCTTTAAATATAGAAGGGAGGTTTTGTTGGCAGGAGGAGGGAGACCCACGAAAGGAGAAAAGACCCACAAAAGAAGAGAGGATGACAGGAATGAACATGATTGAAATGACTGTACACCGTGTAACAATGCCTAATGAACCACAGTATTGTGTACAATCAGCATATCCTAATAAAAATACATTTTAATAAATGCTAAAATTCTGAAAATATCTTTTGTGGTCCCTAAGACCATAGCAGGTTTGAAGATTCAATGCAAAGCCTCATGGAATTCAACTTGTAGTCCCCATAGGTGAGATGTATAATGGCTCATCAAAAGATGCAATGGAGTAGAAGGTGAAAGACACAAGCTGCAACCTGGAAGAATCCCCGAAGAGCTCCTTGGATGAATGACTCCCAGGAGGCATCACATGGGACATGTTCTTTACAGCAAACGAACTGCAGAATCACACAGGAAGGCTGCAGTTGACCACCTGACAGAAATCTATAATAACCTAGGAGGAAAATCTCAATGAAAGACTATTCATGTATGTGAAGGGTTTTATTAATTAACTGTTGTGGAAAGATCCAGCCTTTTAGGTGACACTATTCCCTGGGGATGGGTCATGAGTTACATAAGAAGAAAGTGAGCTGAGTATAGCTTGCTTCCATCATTTCATTCCATTCTGCTTCTTTACTGCGAGTGTGGTGTGATCAGTTGTCTCAGGCTCTTGCCCAATGTCTTCCCTACTATGATGGACTCTCACCTGGAATTGTGAGCAATTCATCTCTTTTTCTTCTGAGTTATGTTTTTTGTAATATGTTATTACAGTAACTAACAAATAAACCAACATAAGTACTAATAGTACCAGGCTCTGACATTTAAAGGTATAGATTGTGGTCACTTCTTATTTATAATGTCCAAAATTATAGTTTAGCAACACTGACTATGGCATTAAGGCCATATAAATAATTTGTCTCATCATTTGAAATACATCATTATATTAAAGGTTTGTTTGTTACTCTAGAAACTTTTGGAAACCTGAGAAAATGCTGAAATATTTTGTGACCTATATGAAAATGTCAAATCGATGTTCGCAACAGCATTTTGCTTATGTTTGGCATTTCATAGGGAAGCTCAACATACAATACAATAGAATTAATGAATGAGGTTTTGAACTTTGCTTTCAAACATATTGTGGAGGATTGAATGAGACGTGACTCCCATAGGCTTATCACGTCTTTGAACACCTGGTTCCCAGTTGGTAGCTCTGTTTGGGGAGGTTAGGGAACTTTTAAGACATGGATGGAGCTTTGCTGTAGGCCAAATGTCATTTTGGGTGGGGTTTGAGAGTTTATAGCCTCACCCCACTTCCAGCTTCCCCTCTTTGCTTGTGATTGAAGATATGATTGCTCGGCTTCCTTCTCCAGCCCACTGCTGTCACACCTCTGTTCTATTAGACTCTTCCTCTGCAACCTTATTAAGCCAAATTAAACTGTCTCTTCCATAGGTCACTTTTGGACATGATATTTTATCACAGTAATAAAAATAACTAATACCTGTATCTTTTTTTGCCAGGCAAGTACCCTACCACTGACACACACACACACCCCTCCACACACACACAGTACTTTTCAAAGCTCTTGGGAATGAATGTAGGACTTGAAATAGTAACTTAATTGCACTGAACATTGCTCTCCTGACTCAATGCATTTCATGTTGCTATAAAAGAATGTCATAGCTACACAATTCATAAGGAAGAAACCTACTGAAAGTTGGTAATCTAAGAACATCGGTACCGACATATACAAAGAGCCTCGTGCTACCTGGTAACATGGACAAAGAGAAAAAAGGATGTCATGCTGGACTCACTTTACAAAAACCTACCCTTGCAACAGCTGACCCTCTAAGATAACAGCTACATCATTTACTTGTGAAGACAAATGTCATTGTGACTTGTACTTTGCAGATTAACTTTCTAACTCAGTGATTTTGGACACATTCAAGATATATCAAGCACTTTTCTATTTGATAATTTGGAAGACAGATTTATTATCCCACCACACAGCAAGTGGATACAACATTGCTTACTGATTCAAAATCTCCCCGTAAAATTGGCAATTTATTTTTGATCTTGCAATTTGTATATACATATATATGTATATATACATATATAAATATATATCATATCATATCATGTGTATGTATTATCAGATTCTTGGGAAAAATAATTGAACTTTGAGGTCCTTTCCTATGATGTAGAGCGAGTCCATCTAGCTCTAATGGCATGTGGGTTGTATGCTCCTAACAATTCAATGTTGAAAGGCTGATGTCAGGAAATCACTGCAAGTTGCACACCATCCTGTTCAACACAGCATGCTCAGGACAGTCAGGGCTACATAGTGAGACACTCATAAAGAAGAAAGAAACAGATTCATATGCTCAAATTTTGGACATTATAACATTGTCATCCACAGAGATCATAAGCAGGAAACATGCAACCAACTTACAAAAACATAGTAATCTTTATTTATTTAAGACGGAATCTCACTATGTAGTTCCAAGACTAACCTGGAACTGTCTATGTAGACCAGTCTGGCCTCCCAAGCGCTGGGATAAAAGGAATGCTAACTTGCTCAGCCTAAAAAAGTCATGTTTTAAGTAATTTTACAGTTTTGTGTTGGGTCATATTTACAACTATCTCTGAGACATGGGTTGGTCATGGTGTAAGCTTGGCTTCTGTGGCAGTTATTTTGTTATCAACCTGACTAGGTTTAGAACCACCCAGAAGATCGAAGGGTGTCTATGAGGGCATTTCAGTGAAGACTAACTCAGAGGAATAACCCACTCTGCATGTGACTGGCATTATCCCATAGGCTGGGGACTTGGACAGAATAAGAAAGAAACAGGAGAAGGTAAGATGAGCATTACTATTCATTTCTTAGCTATCCCTGGCCATTGCTGGTTCCTAGGATTTCATGGTGCCCAACGCAGAATCTCAATAAGAGACTACTAAAGACAACTCCCCTTCATCTGTTCACCTATCACTATCACACTGATCTGAGACCAGAGAGTGTCTGTACCCTGAAATTCATATTGGCCCAAGACTTAAAATTGAGTTTCAGCTAGTCCATCACCTGGCAGACTGGATTAACAGTAAACTAAGGCCAGAATGCCCACTCAACAAAGGGCACCAGCTCATATCAGTGACCAGCAAGGACCTGTAGAAGCTTGGATGTTTGTGCACCCAAACCTGCAGACAGGCCACACATCCCTTCCTTGACCATGTTAAAGAGCTGACATGAATGAAGTTGCCACAAGGGTGGACAAGACAAAAACAAAACAAAAAAAAAGGAAAAAACAACTGAATTTGTAGCCATCAGCTAGAAAAAGAATGTATGCCACCAATATAGAGAAATGTAAGCTGTAAACAACTTCCTTGACTGTAAAAATATCATAGGTGGCCTGGCACATGAAGCTTCTGATCTGGAGGTTCCAAGAGGCCACGTGATGGAGTGGGGGAAAGGAGCTGCCGCTGATTTGAACTTTGAAAGATGACGTAAATGGATTTCTTCTGCCTTCTGCCCTCCGTCCTTGACACCTTGGGCTTATTAATTTTCCCATCTCACATACAATGATTGGTGTTGTGTGCCATGTTGACCACTTGCTTTCCATTTCATACAGTTTCCGTGAAGTTCTACTGACCACCCTTACTCTCTTGAGAGCTGAGCAACGTTTTGTCCTCCTCTTGCCTGCTTGTTTAAGAGCACCCTGGATGACTCCATGGCACTTCCCTTATCCCTAATCACATTCACCTGAGGTCAACACAAGGAATCGTGGCCTTTGCAATAGCTTCAAATTTGTCAAGGGCAAGTGAATCAATTTCTAATTCCCAGTATGTATCTGTGTTTCCTTAGTGTGTGGTAATTTTCATATGGCCTCATGGTGATTTGCCAATTGTTATCTGTGTTCTTACTTTCTTCATCCACTTTGATTGTGTATTTATTTATAAGAGAATATATGCCTAATTTATCTTCATTTCCCTTATGTCTTAGAGCTTCCCTGATACATAACACGAAGGATATGTTAGTAAGATTCATTGAGTAAGTCAAGATGTCTAAAGTGCCAACGTAGTTACAGAGTTAGTGGTGTCAGTAATGTCTATGAGAGAATGTATAAGTATATCCTCTCCCCAGAGGATTCAGGTTAGGTAAATTACAGCACTCATAATGCCTCAGTTTTTTGTTTCTTTCTTTCTTATATTTTTTTTGTAAGATGAGTATAACAGTATCTATTTTATGAAATTGTTTACCCCCAAAATCATGCATTTCTATTCATAAAGTGATTAGAGCAGTGTCTGGTTCAAAGTAGACACACAATAAATACTTCATGAAGTGCCAACAAAACACAGATAACAATCTCTTAAATACTTGCCTTTTACTATCTGCTTAATTTTGAACTCACCTGAAATAAATTCCTGAGACCATGACTTAAAACATTAAAAACATAGTACATAATTATTTTATTGTCATTATGGCTCTAAAGTAAACATTTCAGGGAGGAAATGGTTCACCATACACAAAAGGGATAGTGTGCACTTATATGGTATCCTCACACCCATCACCATTTCAGAAATTTCTCAGCTTGTCCAGAACCATCCTATTTTCTTTTGTTTTGTAAATTTTTAAATTTTTTTTTGAATTAGAAAGATTATTTTACATGTCAATACCAGTTCCCTCTCCCTCCCCTCCTCCCCTGCCCCACCCAACAAACACCCTACCTATCCTATACCCTTTCTGCTCTCCAGGGAGGGTGAGGCCTTCTGTAGGGGGCCTTCAGAGTTTGTCATATCCTTTGGGATAGGGCCTAGGCCAACCCCCTTGTGTCTAGGCTCAGAGAGGATCCCTCCATGTGGGATGGGCTAATCCACTACAAGGGGCCCCATAGATTTCCGAGGTCTCCTCAGTGACACCCACATTCATGGGTTCTGGATCAGTCCCATGCTGGTTTCCCAGCTATCAGTCTAGGGACCAAGAGCTCTCCCTTGTTCAGGTCAGCTGTTTCTGTGGCTTTCACCTGCCTGGTATGGACCCCTTTGCTCATCAGTCCTCCTTCTCTGCAACAGGATTTTAATTAAGTTCAAGGTTTAGCTGTGGGTGTCTGCTTCTACTTCCACCAGCTGCTGGATGAAGGCTCTAGGATGGCATGTAAATTAGTCACCAATCTCATTATCAGGGGAGGGCATTTAAGGTATCCTCTCCTCTTCTGCTTAGATTGTTAGTTGGTGTCATCTTTGTAGATCTCCAGACATTTCCCTAGTGCCTGATTTCTCTTTAAATCTATAATGTCTCCCTCTATTATATTATCTCTTATCTTGCTCTCTTCTGTTCTTCCCCCAACTCAACCTCCCTGACCCATCATGTCCTCCTCCATCCCTCCTCTCCTTCCTTTCTCATTCCCCTAGCTCTCTCTCCCATCCCTCTATGCTCCCAATTTGCTCAGGAGATCTTGTCCCTTTCCCCTTCTCCAGGGGACCATGCATGTCTCTCTTAGGGTCCTCCTTGTTTACTAGCTTCTCTGGCAGTGTGGATTGTAGGCTGGTAATCCTTTACTCTATGTCTAAAATCCACATATGAGTGAGTACATACCATGTTTGTCTTTTTATGACTGGGTTACCTCACTCAGAATGGTTTTTTTCTAGTTCCATCTATTTGCCTGTGAATTTCAAGATTCCATTGTTTTGTTTCTGGTTTTTATTTTCTGCTGCTGAGTAGTACTCCATTGTGCAAATGTACCACATTTTCTCTATCAGTTCTTCAGTTGAGGGACATCTAGGTTGCTTCCAGGTTCTGGCTATTACAAATAATGCTGCTATGAACATAGTTGAACAGATGTCCTTGTTGTATGAATGTGCTTCTTTTGGGTATATGCCTAGGAGTGGAATTGCTAGATCTTGTGGGAGACTGATTGCCATTTTCTTGAGGAGTCGCCATACTGATTTCCAAAGTGGCTGTACAAGTTTGCACTCCCACCGGCAGTGGAGGAGTGTTCCCCTTTCTCCACATCCTCTCCAGAATAAACAGTCATTGATATTTTTGATTTTAGCCATTCTGACAGGAGTAAGATGGTATCTCAGAGTTGTTTTGATTTGCATTTCCCTGATGGCTAAGGATGTTGAACACTTTCTTACTCGTTCAGCCATCCTGGTTTCCTTCCAAGCTTTAGAGTCTTTCTTAGAACAGTGATTCTGACAGCTTCTGACTGTCCAAAGTTTAACAAAAAGATGAAACTAAATCATGCTAGTGGTCTTCTGCCTCTTTTGTGTGAGGGAAGCAACTGAGAACTAAGCCAATCCAACAATTTTAAAAGTTGTTGCAAGTAATTTATGTAGAACCACTCAAGAGCTGTGTTACAAGTGTCTGACTTTCTTTCATTCTTTGTATATGAGATGGTGAATTCTAGTTTATTCAACCTAAAGTCTACGTCAACCTACTCTGGTGGTTTGAATTAGAAATGTCTCTGAGGCTCATCATGTGTTTGAACACTTGGTCCACAGTTTGTGGTGCTGCTTGAGGAGGTCATGGAGCCTTTCAGAGGTAGAGCCTAGCTGGAGGAAGTGAATCACTTGGGTGAGGGGGGGTGGGTTCTGACAGTTTATGGCTGCAACTGTCTTCCAGTTTTCTCTCTGCCTCATGTTTTCAGATGAAAACTCAGCTTCCTGTTCTAGCTGCCTACTGCCAAGCTTCCCCCACAATTACGATCTCTCTCTCTCTCTCTCTCTCTCTCTCTCTCTCTCTCTCTCTCTCTGTCTCTCTCTCCCCACCCCCTCTCTCTCTGGAACTATAAGCTAAAATTAATTCTCTTATAAGTCATTTTTGGTACTGGCATTTTATCACAACACAAAATAACTAATCCCAGTGCTCCAGTCACTCGCCTCCAATAAAGATAGGTTATGGTAGGCTAAATCCTGAAAAGGTTCTCAGAATCCCCAATGCTTGATATCACATCATGTGCAATCTCACCCCTACCTCCCATGCAGGTAAAACTTACGATGTATCTTTCCCATGATTAGGAAAGATTACATGGTAAAGATGAAGGACATTGAACATGCAGTTAGAATTTCTAATCTGTTGCATTGCAGCTAACTGTAAGCAAGGTAATTTTGTGTGGGCCTGACCTGAACAGGTGAGCATGTTAAAGGTCTTGGAGCTCAGAGCCAGTGGTTCAAAACATCTGCAATGCTCTCATATTGGCTTGGGATAAATCATTTGCCATGTTGTAGAAAAGGCATCACACTTACAAAAGAAAAAAAATAAATGTTAATTCTATTATCTTACCAGCTAGTAAAAAAAAAAAAGTGTTCTCAAAAGCCTTCTTTGAGAACACTTCCCTCTGACCGTCACACTAAACTAAAACTAAGTCCTGGGAATTAGCACAGCCCACTCCACCATTAAGATGAGCCAACCTTGGCTCTGGTCTGGCTGCAAGCTTCATTATTTTCCTGCATTCCATTCTTGACAAGGCTTTATTTAAAATGTGAGCAGAAGTATTCTAATTCTCTTGAGATTTTTTTCTTGGGGTCAACTTCTCATAACATCCTAAATAAAGACTTTAGGTCAACTCCTTCATAGACACATGGAGGGATCATGCTTAGACTCAAGGGGAAAGAAACACAGGCAGATGGCTCCAGAAATAACACACATCTCTCAGATGGGTCTAGTTTCTAAGAGTTCGCTTTAAAGTTTCTTGTTGACAGGGGGCACTGCTTCCATGTTGGGCACTGTCTCAGTTTCGACAGAAACTATGTATGAATCAGAGACTCAAAAGTCCAAGTCTTGGGGATAGAGATGGCTTAGTCAATAAATGGTTTAAGTATGAGAATCTGAACTTGAGCCACCAAAATCCACGTGGAAAAAAAAAGCTGCATTTGAGGGGTACACCTATAATCCCAGAACAACGGGGAGGAGGAGACAGATGGATGCCTTGAGCTTGCTGGCCAGCCAGCAGAGCCAAAGTAGTGAGTTTCAGGTTCAGTGAAAAACTGTCTCAAAAACTAAGGCAGAGAGTAATAGCAGAGGACACTTGACATCAGCCTCAGGCCTTCCTCCACAAGCACATACATGCCATTCACACATTTGCAAACACACATATACAATCTTAGTCTTTAAAATTGAAAAGAATTCCTTATTTGTTAATTAACCAGAATGAGGGCCAGAAGAAAGAAAAAAATCACAGAAACTCCTTTCCTTATCTATTTGTCCAGACTAGGCAGAGGATCACATTCAACATTCCAGAATTCAGTTCCTAGTTCTATGTTCCCATCATTCTCAGACCTCCTGTTAACCCATCTCCAGACTATGGCAGAAACCATCTCATAACATCGTGAGCTAAGAGCAGAACAACGAATCAATTAGGTAATTCCCAAGGATCAGACCAACAAGAGGTATTCAAGTATGGAAACTCAATGCATTTTCTAAACTCACCAATTAACCCCTAACATTGAATGAAACCTGATTCACCAACAGCTACTTTCCACACACCAGACCACGGAATTTATAGAAGACTGTCTGCACCATGGATAATATCAAGCATTTCTAGCCCCCAAGGGGATATATTTCTACCTCCTGTAGATGGGTGCTTACACAGGGCATGTGGAGACAGGCATGAGAACAGGCAGAGTTTTATGAAGACAAACATGATTCATTACCCAACCTGACAGCACTGCAAAAAGGACCATGAGGAACATTCGCTTCATGCCTCCTATTGTGGTCTGTTGGGTATCACTACATCATGCCATCATCTCTCTAGGGTCTCCGAGGTGTCCAAGTTAGACCTAGTCTCCCAGCTCTTTGCTGTGTGTCTCAGATAACTCAGTGATGCCTGCATGTGGTTTCATTCAGTGTTCATTCAAGCGTGTGTTCTCTCTCCTCCATCCACTCTCATAAGCTTTCTTGACAGTCTCGTTTCCATTATTGTGAAAATATAACTGGCCACCTGACTTCACCATTGACAGCTGAGCTAGGTGGACCCCGTACAGTTGAATTAAAGAAGCAGACACCATTTGATTAATGTCAAGCACTTAACATTTATGTTAATGTTAATGATAATTTCTACAATAAGCCCTGAAAGGCGGATATTGTGATTACATTTCGTAGATGTATCAAGAAAGGCTCAGATCGTTTACCCCACACTGGAAACCAGGTGATCTGGGTGACTGCCTTGTTGACTTTACAATCATAATCAATGGAACACTTTACCTGGGACTCAGTTTCTTCGTATGCTCAGGGGAAATGAAAGCACACAGTAGGTTTGCTGCCTGGATAAAGTGAGCAAAGTGAAGTGGTTGGCATGAGCATGTAAAACCCTATACAGATGCAAGCACTGCAAATTCCGCATCAGCATCATACACAGCTTCATAGGCTGCATAGGATGGCATTATTTCAGATAAGATATATTTTAAATATGGCATGAGCCTATTGACATTTTAATATTATATGTACTTGCACTATAACTTTAACCAAATGTATTTCTGTGTCTCAAAATAATTAAATCACGAGCTTATCTTAATGTTCTCACACCTACAAAACTCTGTGCTCTTCCAGAAACAAAACAATAAGCATTTAAATCCAGAGGCACTTTTGAGAATCTCTTTGCTCTACTTCACAGATAAGATAGGCCCAGAACAAGACACTAAATGTCAGCAAACGTGCTTCAGACACTGACTGCATGCTACACACTATGCTAGGCACTTAGGACCTGAGATAGGCAAAGCAGCTTCCCTGATCTCAAGTAGTTTATGGCTAAAAATAGGTGGCTTCCATCTGGGAGAGTTAATACCCTCCTGCTAAGCTTCATTAAACAGCAATAAGAGAATCAGAAACTCTGCCCTTTGGCTTCTACCCAACAAGACGGTTCTCTCCTTAGGCAACCTCGTGAAATTAATCCAAAATTAAGGAATATATTTCTTTGTTGGTTGCATTTTTAGAAGAAATTAATATCAGAGTCTATGGGGGTTCTGCTGACGTACGTAGATTATATATAATACAATTGTCATTCTCCTGAGTTGTTCAGTATAACCCTGTTTGTCAGGATGAGGGGGGAGGATGAAATGGACAAAGATTACTAGTGAGAACAGGATGGTGTTTGAGGAAGGACACACAATCCCATGCCCCCAATCTGAGTACATAATCTCCATGTCAGGTATCCACGCTCCTCAGTAAGTGTTTGGGGATGTGTGTACATAGCTAGTATAGTTTTGAACACACACCTGCTCTATGTTATGTGGCACTGTAGATAGCACTGTGACACCACCATTATAAAACCACTAAAACAAAAGAGTTCCCTGTTACGGTTTTTTAAAAAAAGATTTTATTTTTAATCATATACATCTGTACATGAGTACAGCTGCACACTGAGGCCAGAAGAGGGCATCAGATCTTCTGGAGTTGAAAGTATAGTTAGCTGTGAGCTGCCCAATGTGGGTGCTAGGAGCCAAACTCAGATCTTCTGCAAGAAAGTTGTCTGGACTGTCAGGGTATTTTCATTCTGTTTTAGAATCTTTGGCCACTGAAAACAAAAGCCAAAGCCTCCTAAAGGTCATTTCCTTCCCCAGGCTCCTGACATCACACACACACACACACACACACACACACACACACACACACACACACACACACACACACACACGGTGGGGGTGAGAGGATTGACTGACTTAGTTTTTATCATCTGAAAAGTAGGAACTTTTAAAATTATTTGACACATGAGAATAAATTGAGGAAGTATTTATATCCAGTTTTGGGTAAAGGAAGACAGGTTGATGGTGTGCCTTTCACTGCAGCTAGCATCTATTTAATGAATACATCTTTTGTCTACTAGGCCACTTGAAGAAAGTGAGGATGAAAGAGAAAAAGTGACAAACACCCAAAAGTGACACCAAAGGAGACTATGTCTTGGTCCTTAGTGGAGAATACTAAGCAATGAGTTACCATGAAATAAAAGAATAAAACAAACATAATCCAGAACACATTTCATGCCTGATATTCTATTAAAAATTAAGTCTATTCACTATTTTGTTTGGAATTGATGTCAGGAATTTTGGAATTTTGTTTGGAATTGCAAAGCAAGGAGTTCTAAACCCTGGCAAGATAAGTACTGTGATCACCGGGCATGCTTTCATTTCATCTGGTTGCTGGGATATGTGGGGCTGGCTAATGGAGTTCCCAGCAGCCTTGCGACAGCCCCTTCTTTTCTCTTCTCCCTAACAAGGCTAGTGAGATTCGTGCAGATTGCAAGGATGGAAAGGGCCTTATCACTGCCTGGTGATCGCTGTTCCAGCCCCGGACAATGAGGGTTCATCCAAAAGCACAGCTTCCTCTCTGCTATTGACAGGAAGCCCTGCCTGGGACAGCAGTGAATGCCTCACTCAGTGCCTGGCCAGGCAGCAGCTGGAGACCTGAGGGAAAAACAATTTCTAGACATGGTGTTTGTGCATTAAAATACCAGGTGGTAATGAGATGGGAAAGCTAAAGGGGAATTTTAAGAAAATGTTCACTGTTGTGATACTCTTGCCTGGGATGGAGAGAGAATTGTGAGATTCAGAGGAGAAGTCACAAACAACAAAGGTTGCCTCATCCAGCCTGGATCTGAGGGTTTCTGCCTGGTCTTATTGTAACTTGTCACTAGGATGTCTGCTCTTTTCTGAAGGGAAATGGAGGAGGAGTGGACCTGAGGAAGACAGGAGGTGCGAAGAGAGGTAGGAAGGGAGGTTGCAGTCAGGATGCATTGTTTGAGAGGATAAAGGAAAAAGAACCACCTCTCAAGCTACGACAACCAAGAGTTAAGAAACTGAAGAAGCAAAGAGTATGTATAGTAAGGTAAGGCTCCAACATAGCTTGATAAATGCATTGAGAGGGATTCACTTCTCCAAAGGACCTACTAGAAGCAGGTTTCAAACTCTTAAATTCTTATGTGCAGTCACAGAAGACTGAACTTGGGTCCAATTCACTATCAAAAGTGTGTAGGAAATGTTGTTCTGATACCACCAGCAGGAAAAATTAAAATAAAAATGCTAGCAATTCATGTGCCCTCTATATTTTTATTTCCATATACCACAGTCTATATATATTGCTGGAAAGACAGGCATTAGCTGTGAGATTTGTTGGGATTTCTTCAGAAGGACCAGGGAGGTAAAGGAGCATGTTCTTCAATCTGTTGGAGCTGAGATGCTGATGAGACTAGAGAAGGACAGGTCCCTGTGGTAGTTAAGGACTTGGACCTGGTGCTCTCTGCAAGTTTGGAGCTGCTAAGGCAGGGGGAAAAAATACCAAAGAAAAGATAAAAGAGTCAAAGCAAGGTCACAAAGAAAATGTCTATATTTGGATGAATAAAAGAGAAGAAAAATAATTTTACTGGATGCACATCTAGATAAAAGAAAAAAATCAAAGGAATTTAATAAATCTAGAGGCCTAGGGATGAATAGGGCCTCAGATGAGACAGAAAGGGGTGGGCAGAACTATGGGTAGGCAATTAAAATTGGTGAATTGGCAATGCTTTAGTCCTCGAGAAATAATTCTAGTAGACAAATGGAACATGAACTTACACTGCCAGAAAAAAAAAAACAAAAAACAAAAAAAACTGGCTTGCAAATGAGTAATCAGTGAGGCAGCCGAGGAAATCTGAGCGGAAAACCTTCCCCCAAAACATGGACATGGAAAGTAGGAGCAGGAGGGGGGGGGGAGAGGCATTTCAGATACAGTGACTTTGCCCTTCATCCCAGGGAAGTGAAACGTCTCCATCAGAAGAAAAAAAAAAAAAAAAGGAAGTTACAAATCACATTCCGGTTCAGGTTTATCCTATGCATACTCACATAGGTGAGCCTGGGCCCGGAGGACTGAGACAGTCTGTGTTAAACAGGCTTGGCTCTGAACCCACGATGCAGGCACTGACATGTTAGGTTACCCCCACCTCACTCTGGTGGAGAGCTGAACTTCCTGTGATGAGCCCCAGGCTTTCCTGTACTTGCCTGCCCACCCTGCCCAAGTCCCTCCTCCCAGGCCACCTAGCCCCTCCTCCTCCTCTTTTTTTTTTTTTTTTTTTTATGTCCCCCAAGCTGTGTTTATCTTTGGGATTCTAGCACAGCACATTCAGATTACTAAAACAAACTATCTCTGGCAACCAAGGAAGGATTGGATTCCTTGTACTGGAAATAATGGCCAGGGTTTCAAAGAAAAAGGGAAGGAAAGTTCCAGAGGAAAGGAAGATAAAAACTGGGTTGATGAGAGTCTGCCTTGTGGGTGGGTGATGGTTCCTGAGTCAACAAACTGGCCAAACTTTCAGGGCTAGTAGAAAAAGCTATAGAGGCTATCTGCTGACTCACAACAGCAGAGAATGTTGGCCAGCTTGGGACACAGGTCCGAGTGACAGAACAAGGCCCTTACTCAAAAATGAAATCTGAAGGACACATGCTATAGGGTTGGCTAAGCAGGGCAACGGTCATTTTCTTAGGACTAGAGCACACTTGGGAGTGTTCATGTCCAAGAGCCTTTGCTTCCATCGGCTCCAAGGCCTTCCCTGCCTTCCCTTCCATCAATCTCTTCCTCCAACTTCAAAATCCTACTGCACCATCGCCCAGTCAAGACGACAAGATCTACACCTTAGAATTCTTCCTTCAGATTGGGAATTGTGAAGAGACATTGGGGCTAGCCCTTTGCACACCTTCCAGGCATTCTGTGAGTATAAGTTACTTTTTCAAAAATTTATTTTAATTTATTTATTTTACATCTTTACCGAAGTTCCCCATCCCTTCTCCCTTCCATCCTCTCCCCCCACCACACCTCTTCTCTGCCCTGCCCCCATGCCCTCAGTCCACTTTTCCTCTGCTTTTGTTTGTTTGGTTGGTTTGGTTTTGGTTTTGGTTTTGGTTGGTTTGTTTGTTTTGAGACAGGGTTTCTCTGTGTAACAACTCTGGTTGTCTTGAAACTGGCTTGGTAGACCAGGCTGTCCCTGGAATTCAAAGAGTTCTGGAATTAAAGGCATGGCTACCACCCCCTGGCCCGCATCTATTTCTGTTCAGAAAGGGGCAGAACTTCCGTGGGTATCAACAAAGCATAGAATATCAACTTGCCGTAATACTAAGCTTCTCCCCTTGTATTTAGGCTGGGCAAGGCAATGGGGAACAGTTTCCCAAGAGCCAGTCAAAGCATTAGGAAGAGCCCCTGTTCCCATTGTTAGGCGTTCCACAAGTAGCCGAAGTTACACAACTGACACATATATGTAAAGGGCCTAGGTCAGCCCCATGCAAGCTCTCTTGTTGTTGGTTCATATTCTGTGAGTTCAGGAAAAACGAAACAAAAGGAAATAAAAGGAATAGAATGATTTTAAAAAAAAGCCACGTAAAGGTGGAAAGTACACCCAAAGTCTAGATACTATATTGTTGTCTTTAAATTGTTTAATTGCCAAGGAAAGAGCTATAGCTGCTAAAATACATTTGTTTGATTATAAGTGCTTCTGAATGGCAGCACATATACTAAAATTGGAATGATACAGAAAAGATTAGCAAGACCCCCTGAAGCAATGGCCCAACCGATCCTACATCCAAAACAGCTGAGATGATGCAGTCATAGACCACTACAGCCAGGAATTCTGGGTTTTCTCAAGATCCCCATAATATTGCCCCCAACCAGCAGGAATCAGTTTGGAATGAAGGACACCCAAATTCCCAAATATTGTTTATAAATGTTTGTTTTCATTTAAATGGAGTTGGTTATAAATGGTAATGATGACAGTCAATCTCTTTTTAAAGGAAAAAAGGGGGAATAGGATATGGAGATTAATACTTTACATTGGTATGGATTTTCATTTATTGAAACAACTATATATATATATATATATATATATATATATATATATTCATATAGTCACCTATAATAGTCAAAATTATAATTAGGTTAGCTAGGTTTTCTAGATATACAGAGATGTATTTGAGATGGATATTCTTCAAACCTTTCAAAAACCTACAGAATATTTTGTCTTTACATGGTTTAGGGTTTTTCTTGACAGTGAGACACAACTGCTCCTGGCACACCAATTACATTAGAAAGGAGGATGGGCATTGAAGAAACTCAACATGGAGTTTGCCTTCAACATGGTAAGAAACTGCTCTTGCCTGGACTGTTTGTTGCTGTATAAACTGGACATGCAGGACCCACAAAGAAAGTGACTGCTGAACTTACAAAACAAGACAGTACAGAAGGGTTCCTGCTGAAATGGAGGACAGACACACTGGCCTATAGGCTGAAGATGGATGCTCCAGCATTACAGAGGAACTTTGGGTGACTGTTGAAGAAACTCAACATGGAGTTTGCCTTCAACATGGTAAGAAACTGCTCTTGCCTGGACTGTTTGTTGCTGTATAAACTGGACATGCAGGACCCACAAAGAAAGTGACTGCTGAACTTACAAAACAAGACAGTACAGAAGGGTTCCTGCTGAAATGGAGGACAGACACACTGGCCTATAGGCTGAAGATGGATGCTCCAGCATTACAGAGGAACTTTGGGTGACTGTCCAGGCAACCAGATGTCTCTGTCAGTTCTAGAGTTTATGTATTAGTCTTCTGTGATCTTTGATGGAGTTGAAGACAGATAGTTATGGTTATAGTTTTCTTCAGTTAAAAGATAAATTACCCTTCTTTTTATTTATACAGAAAAGAGGAGATGTTGGGGGAAGTGCTTCTGTATGTGTTTGTCTTATTGGATGATAAATAAAGTACTGTTTGGCCAATGAGGCAGTTGGGTGGGACTAGGAGTTAAGGAGGATTCTGGGAAATGTAGTAAAGAAGTGGTGATCCAGGCAGGAAGTGGCATAGCAGGGAGACTCATATAAAAGCAAGGGCAAAAATGAAGTCATTCCAGTCATTCCTCCTGCTCTCTGCTTTGAGCCACCAGGTGATCCCCGTAAGAGAAGATGCCAGCAGCCGGCTTCCAATAAGATAAGTCTTTATGGTTGATACTCAAGACTGAGCTAGCAAGTGAGAAATCCTAGCCAGTTGGCCAAGCAGCATTTGTACCTAATATAAGTCTCTGTGTGTTACTTGGGACCTTAATGTGGCGGCCAGAACTTGGGCGGCCTGGCAGAAAGCGCCCACTTGGCGGCAGGGCTCGGGTGGCTTTGTGGAAAGACTTATTGCTACACTGATATTAGACATACATATTTGTATATTGTATGTTGAGAAAGATAAAAGTTATGACAGGTCTCTGTGACCTCCTGCTTCCCAGGCAGCATGTGTGATACAGGACTATATGTGTGTCAGAGACCCCTGTCAGCAATATAATGGCTGGTGACTGGGAACATCCTTTACACTGACAGTAGGAGCTTCCCATGTCGCTTCCCTGATGAGGTGGAGAGCCTTTATCGTGAGACTTTTCCTGCATTAAACAGGAAATCCTGTTTGACAACCTGAAGATGACCTGAAGCCAATAGGGGAAAAGAAATGTGGCATACCTGAGGACAAGAAAAAGAGATGTGAGGAGTCCATGTTCGCTCACTGAAGTTTTTATTCACAATCATCATGCAGTTGATGCCTGGGTGTCGCTGCTGGACCTGCCTGTTTTCTGTGTCTGCTTGAGGAAGCCTAACTTTCCCATCCTTCCTATTTCCATCTCCCTCCTCCCAGAAGCTGCTTTAATTTCCACATTTCTGCCCCATAGTTCAGGATAACCTTGATCTCCTTGACTCTGTTACATTACCTCCATGCTCCCTTCTGTGGTTGTTTTAAAATTCCTGTAACTGTTAGATCAAGAATCGAAAAAGAGGCATCTAGAGCCCCACCCTGCCGCGACTACCCAGACACTGCTACAATATAAGCCACACGACTGCTGAAGTTTCGTTTCTTTCATAAATACCTATCTTACACATAGCAGTTAGCATATATTTCTTGAATTAATCAGTAAAGTCACCCATCATCCTATGTCTTTCATTCTTATCGTATGCTCTAGAAAGTATATGCTATAAAAAACTTACACTTTTTAAATACATTGGTACATTTTTATGTCACTCATGTGATAAGATAAACAAGTGCATGCAAGATCTCACATGTGCTATTAAATGCATGGTGTAGATAGTACCAAAGCCCTGTTCTTTCCACTTACTCATCCAAAGCCCTGTTCTCACACTGCCTTGTATTCTCATGACCTTAGTTGTCATGTTTGCCAGGTGTGAGCTTCCTGGTAGCAAACCCTGTTCCTCTTTCCTACAACCCACATACCTTGAAGCAGTAGCTACCCACCAAATGTCTTAATGATTTGAAATTGAACTTCCTCATCTTGGCTCTGGGCCGTAGCTACCTTCAGGGCTCATCTACACCTAAAATTCTCGCTAATTGAAGTGATATGTTTTCCTCAGCAGAGGCAAGGTGAGTAGTTTTCATCTCAATTAAACGACTACCATGAGAGGAGAAAGACAAAAATGTGTTAATCAAAACAAGCGAGTCTCCAGGCTGGAAAAGCCTTTGCACAGATTCAAAAGAGGTTTCAGGAAGAGAGGACAATGAGAGGCTCAGTGAAGAGGCAGGAAGGGTTGGAGGATGCTTGTGTAGGTCAGGGCACAGACCCATTTGTCTGGGGACACCGACAGCCTTGAGCAGTTGTAGGCATAAGAGGCCTCTGAATATTTACCATATTTAGCAGTACTAAATTCTGGTCTCTGTAGGTTCAATTGATTCTTGCATGCCTCTGCTGCTTTGGCAAATCATCACAAACTGAGGGCTGAAACAACGCACTCTTACTGTCTTACAGTGCCAGAGTCAAGATGGAAATACATTGTATATGACAGAAATTAACAGCCACTGGGGATGTTCACATTCTGGAGGCTCCAGAGCAGTGAGGGCTTCGAAATCTTTCCCAATGCTGTTATCTTTTAATACAGTTCCTCTTGTTGTGGTGACCCACACCCATAAAATTTTTTTGTTGCAACTTCGTAACTGCAATTTCATTACTTCTTTGAATTGAAATGTTAATATTTTTGGAGCTAGAGGTTTGTCAAAGGGGTGGAGACCCACAGGTTGAGAACCTCTGCTCGACAGAATCTCTGCTTGCCTTTTCCAGGTTCTAGCTAGTAATCCCCCAACCCAGTCCCATCTTCCACCACTGCTCATGTAGGTCATATCACCTTCTCTGACCCCCCCCTTCAAATCCATCCAAATTATCCAGGATGAGATGGTTTTAATTTCACCTGTTAACATTTCTTGATGTTTCTATGAAGCTATTTCTTGAATAAGATTACCATTTCTGTGTGCACAATGCATGTGCCCATGTGTGCACAGTATGAACATAGCTATGTGCAAATTTGGAGGACACACTTAAACATCAGGTGTTTTTCTGTATTGCTCTTTACTGTATTTTGTTTTGTTATTTGATGAAATCCCTAACAAAATCTGGAGTTTGTTAATTTGTTAGATTGGATGGCCCCAAGGTCATAAAATCCTTCTGTCTCCACCCACCCAGTGCTGGGATTACAGATCCTTGCTATCACACCCACTTTTGTGTGGGGGTACTGGGGCACTTAACTCAGGTGCTCTGTGGTAGCTTGAATGTATTTAGCCCCATAAAATCATAGGGAAAGGCACTGTTAGGAGGTGTAGCCTTATTGGAGGAAGTGTGGTATTGTTGGAGGAGACCTTGAGGCAGAGGGAATAACTTTAATCTGGGCCACACCTTCTGTTGGAAGTAGGTCACTGGGTCAGGATTTGAGGTCTTTTTCTCAAGGATCACTCAGTGTGATAGTCAGTTGACTTCCTGTTGTCTGCAATATGTAGGACACTTGGCTATTTCTTCAACCTGGCTGCCTGAATGCAGCTGTGCACCCACTACAATGGACTGAACCTCTGAAGTGTAAGTGAGCCTAGTCAATGAAATGTTATCTTTTTAAGAGTTGCCATGGTCACAGTGTCTCTTCACAGCAATGAAAATCCTAAAAATATCCTCATAGTTCCTGTCAATCACTTTAAAGACTGGGGCATTTCCCCCAGCCTCTAAAAGTTAATAATAAGTCAAGTGAATGAATTTTTGACTGTGGCAAATTATCCTCCATAAGGAAGAGAGATCACATTAAAATATTTTGATTGTGTGTTTTTTGTCATGTTTGCAACTATAATCCCACTCTAGTTTCTCTGTTGTTTACAGGTAGAGATTATTTTGCTTCGACAAACTTTAGAAATAGAATCAGTGAGGGAAAACTGAGTCATCTAAGATACTACAGTTGACATCACTACAGCTGTTCACGTATTACATCATTTTGCACTTTTGTCTTTAAAAGGCTATTGGAAGCCTTACACAAAACACAACTGTGAGAGGCAGGCGGATCTCTGTGAGTTCGAGGCCACTCTGGTCTCCAGAGTGAGTGCCAGAATAGGCTCCAAAGCTACCCAGAGAAATGTCTCAAAAAAAAAAAAAAAACCAAAAGAAAACAGAAAAAAAAAAAAAGAACACAACTGTGTGCTTGGGCAGAAACTCTTACTTGAATGGTTGTTTGAGCTGATAAGGAATCAGGATATTTGGTCTTCCAATCTTGACTCTGATTTCCCCTATCTTTTTGCGTTTCTCCAGGTAAAGCAGAAAATCACCAATCCTCCACATCTGTTTGCCTCATCTGGAAGAGCCTTCCAGTCTCCGCAACAGAAGGCTCATGCAAACTGGCCAATAAAATTCCTGAAATTATCAAGACATGTGATACTTGGGCAAAGATTAAGATAAGATTTTCATGGTTAAATTCCTTCCACATACACACACACATTCTCTCAGAACACCACCGGTTACAGCCAAAAATTTCAGGTAAATCAGAAAATGCCACACAGAGAGGGATTGCAGTGATTTATTCCATAAACAGCCAGTTGCTACACTGGAATCCCTGACTCACTCAGCTTTGGGATAGAAGTCTGGGCTCCCATTTGCATTCATTTAAGTTGGAATTAGCTGTTGGCCAGCCTGCCAGAGAGCACCCTACATTGAACCCACAGCCCCCAAGCTTTCTGTAGAGCCCAAAGCAACAGAGTCACTGTAGAAATGTATTATTCTTTCAGTTCCATAATTGTCATGATGGGTGAAAACCTGCTCTGTAAACCTAGAGACTGTATACCAAAGACTCTGTGTGTGCTGGCAGGGTCCTCATGTGTTAGCAGGGGAGTCAGAGTCCCTTCTGAAGATTCTTAGCCACGTTAATGAAGAAATTAAATCTGGAGAACAATTTTGATGGAGGTAAAAAGCAAGCAAAACAAAAAAAATAAAAAAAAGAGAAACAAAAACAAAAAAAACAAAAACAACTCCTGGGCAGGTGCTGTACATCCCAGTAGCTGCCCAGAGAAGAAAGATGGAGCAGAGAAAAGGAGAGAAAATCTATGCCGTTTGAGTTAAGTCAACACGGAGGTCAGTTATGCGGTGGACAAACAGCCACATGGTAGGCAGGGGAGCTATAGAGAAAAGAAGGAAGCTGAAAGTAACAACAAAAAACAAACAGGCATACTTAGATTCTAGTCAGCATCTAAAAGATAGAAAAGAAGAAAAAAATGAAAAAAAGAAGTTGTATCTTCTTAAATCGGGACGAACAACACTTAAGCGATCTGACAGAGCCTCACGGCGGGCCTGGAGCAGATGCACAGAGAGTGGGAATTCTGAGAAGGAAAAGTATGCTCATCTCACTGAAGAGACAATCGGTCCTTTTATCCACTTCAGCTTTACTTGAGATGGACCTACCTTCCTGAGGGGTGCTCCATTGGCCAGCTGATTACTGGAATGGATTAGCTCAGACAACACATATCTCCACCCAGAGGTAGATTTCATTCCTTACTTTGACAGCCGTCGACGGAGCAATCTAAATGCTGGCAGCCGAGCTAAGAACTTTGTGCATACCATTGCCCCACTGCCACGTAAGCCGCTTCCCATTGTCTGATCTGCTTTCAATGTAGGATTTGCAGCAGAAGGTTTAAGGGCTTCGCTGCTGTGCTTTGCAACATTTCTACAAAGCCCTTTCTGAGAACATGTCTGCAGTGAACGCTCTACCTCAGTTCAGCTAGCCTCAAGGAGCAGTTTTGCAAGATGGCTGGCTGACTCTGGGTGGAGTAGTTGCTTCCAAGCCAGTGTGAGTTTATTGGCTCACTTGGGAATGGATCTGAATCTTGGACTCATTAGCATAATGCTTTAAGGAAACAAATGGGAAAGCCATAGTCATTGTTATAAATAATCTCCCTAATTATCCAAAGCCGCATGCTAGGAAGAAAATGGATAGTTAATTAAAAGCAGAAAATGTCTCCTCCTTATGGTATATGGAATGAAACTATTTAGCTGTATTTTCCTTTTCTTTCTCCTCTGGAACTATATGTTTTCCAGTCTTGCTAAATAGTCTAGATTCTCAAAATTCATATTATTTTGCTTTCCAATGACTCTAATCCATTTAAATGCCAGAACTTTGTTGTGAAATCAACACGAAAGAGCAAGAGGAAGCTCTCTGTGTTGCACAGATGTTGTGTTCTCCTCAGACAATTTCTCACAGACCCTTCAGCAGCAAGTCCTCCCAGCACCAGGTCAAAGGACTCGATTAAACATGCAGCTTCTACATAAGGTGCTGATGGCTTCTCCTTGCTGAGAAGAAAACAACAGGACCACCGGAATTAGAGCTTGTTACAGCCCAACCACTCCTGCTTCATACTAAAGAACGCAGCAATGGCTGCTTGGCAGAATTATTCTCTCAGGCAACTGGTGCCCATCAGAAGATTGAAAGTAGGAGTTGACACTGGGGAAACAGAACTCCTTTTGTGTCCTGAGCCTGCATTATTTTACTGCCCAGGGAAGGACAACAGAGACCCCTGTGCACTTTGCTTGGTTGTAACTAAATTTCTAGTCTTTTGCTTTTTCCATTGATGGCCTATGTGTCTAGCCATGGAGCATACAGTTACAAAACTTCTTTTTGCTGCTATTGGCTGAAAAGTCTTCACTTTAATAACTATCAGGTCCTATTTCTATGCTTCATTTAGTCCAACAATGTCTTCCTCCTGGCATTCTTTTATACTTAGTTTTCATAAGTAATAAGATTGTGATTTAAAATCTTTATAAAAGTACAGGGAAGGGGTTTAGAGATTAAGTGGTTGAAAGCAACACTGCATATACTTCAGCTTCATCAGAGCAAGAGGAAATTGCTCATTCCTCCCAGCTTGTTTTGGTATTCTACAGCAGGATACCAAGTGGTTGCTGCCACTTGGAAATTGGCACTACTACTGAGAAGTGTTTCAATTGCAGGCAAGAGGTTGTGCAGGTTTTCCCCCTACATGAGTATGTGATTCAGAGTTAGAAATACAGTCATTCTAAAGACAAATTTAGTGCTACAAGGTGACCTCTTGTTGCATCAGTTTTCTGCTTCCAGACAGAGGTAGAGGCTCACTAAATAAGGGTTACATATGAAAGGCCATACCCAAAACATACATGAAACAGCTTGTTGGTTTAAGACAGGGCCTCAGGGAACCCAGGCTCGTCTGGAGCTCACTATGTAGCCAATGAAGAGCTCTCTCCTGATCTTTCTGTCTCAACTCCCAGATGCTGGCACTGCAGGTATGTACACCATGCCCATCTTGGAAAACAGCATTTTTATGAAATAAACTTCCCAGTGTTTCTCATACCAAATATAGATAAGACTTAAACATGAGCTTTTGTCACAAAAGCTCAGTATCAGTTTTTAGGATAGTATATGGCTAGGGCAGCCCTCTTAATGTGGCAAAGTAACAGCACCCAGATGTTAGTCACTCAGCATCTCCACTCCAATAAATAGATGTATGTGAAGTCACACCCTCAACTCTATGTCAGGGACAGCGTGTGAAATCACAGGCTTCTAGTTTTCACATAACCCTGCAAGTGTTTTATTATCAGCATAGTTTTATTGGTGAGATTCAACCCATAAAGAAGAACACATCCTCCAGGAAACAATAGAAGATAAAATTTAAGATTGCCCATATCACAGGCCAGCTACCCCCAGAATAAAATAAGAGGCTAAGAGCCAAGAGCAAATCCTTTGGGGGGTGCAGGTTCTACAGGGGTAGTAGAAGGATACGGCAGTCACATACCACAGAGGAGCAACACACCAAAGAACATCTTGACTACAGTAGTAGGAAGTGCCCTTTCCTTTTTTACCTCTAGGTCTCGGCTCTAAAGAATCACTGATTTTATTTGTTAATTTCTGTTATTCATTGGGAAGCAAAGTATCTTAGAGAGCTAAACCAATCTACTAAAAATTAAAAGCCACTTGCCATTTTTTCTCAAGGAGACAATTTTGTTTCAAATATATAGCTTCTACTCTATATTGTACACACTAAGAATAGAATGATGAAGTTTTTAATGACTAATACATAAGATACAATGATTGAATACTCATTAATTATGGTTTTCAACTATATTCCCTTGATAGTGATTGTTCCTACAAAAGCAAGAGGACATAAGAACAGAAATAATTTTAATATGCTTCCAAAAAGTAGTTTTCACAGCAGAATGGGTTTGTGTGAGCCCTGGATAGCACTAATTTGAGAGCTAAACTAATTGGATTATTAGATTTGATTGTCTACTTGTATACCATGCTGTCTGACTCTTTAAGACTCTTGTACAGAGAGATCTACCATGCACAAACAAGTATGGGTTAGCAAAAACAAGCCAAAATTTGATGTTCAGCTAAGGATTCTAATGTTCCGAGGCCTTATCTAAGGACTCAGTGAGATTCATGCTTATGCTGTGAATCCTTCTACACATTTTGGGAAATAAGAACTAACAGTAACACCTTAAATATAAACATTTTTCACAGTATTAGTGAACACTGTTTACTCATCATCATGAACCTTAATATATCATAAACAATAAAGGCAGGAACATGTGACCAGAGGGTGACTGGACAGGGCAATGACCGTAGAGTGAAGAAGTACTTTATAGGCCAGTGAAGAAACAGGTTTTTAAAGGACAGCACTTTAGAAAAAAATACCAGGAGATTTGGTGATATATTGTTTATGATCTAATAAGGCTTGCCTAGAGATCAGAATGTAAAACTAGCCACAACCATAGAGGCCAGGCAGTGGTGGCCACATCTTTAACCCCAGCACTCCAGAGACAGAAGCAGACAGATCTCTGTGAGTTTGAGGCCAGACTGGGCTACATGAGAATGAATCAGTCTGAAAGACAAACAGAGCTCACACATTTAATCCCGAACTAGAGAGAATATAAGGAGCTCAGTCTGAGGTTTTTGGTGGAGAGCATTGCAGTCTAGGAGTCGGAGGGTTCATGGAGCCAAGATTGCCCTTTCAGTCTGAAGTAGAGGTGAAAGCCAGTGCCTAGCTGCTTTGCTTCTCTGATCTTTCATCTTGAACCCCAGTGTCTGTCTCTGGGTTTTATTTTTCATGCTACAAGGAGAAATCTTTATAACACATTATTTTTGCCATGGGTCAGTTTTATTCAGAGAATTATAGACATGTTAATGTTTGCAAAAGTGAAATATGTCAGTTAAAAATCACAGAACCTCTGGAAATTTGTTTTCTGATATAACAAGAAATCAGGAACTAGATAGTTCGAGAGTTAGCTCATTTGCAATACAATGAAGTTGGTCCCTTGAAGGTTTTTCAGCCTTAAAAGTCAGTGTTCCCCTGAAGAGTTTGAAAACATCGCAGTGGTTCACAAGCTTCTTGGCATTTGTACAGATTTAGTAGATTTTCAAGAAATAAACATATCTGTATTTGATACATGCTTTTTCGTAAATTAGGAGTAATTTTAAATTGGTTTTGTTTTGTTTTGTTTTGTTTGGCTTTTGTTTTGTTTTGTTTCAAGACAGGGTTTCTCTGTATTGCATTGGAGCCTGCCCTAGCACTTGCTCTGTATGTAGATCAGGCTGGCTTCGAACTCACAGAGATCCACCTGTCTCTGCCTCCTGAGTGCAAGGGATTAAAGGCGTGAGCCACTACTGCCAGGCATTTTAGCTAGTTTTTAATTTTATTTTCCCTTTTTAAAACAATTCACCAGCTAAATTGGTACCTTGGTAGGAAAAGTCCACCCTGCTCCCATCTCCATCATTCTGGAATTCTTACAGCTTGAGGTTTCTTGGGTCAAGGCTTCCAAATGAAGCACTATTAGTTCTTCTACATTCTATTGCTCAGGTCGGATCAGGGAATCAGCTCATACACAGGAGACAGGATAATAGATGCCATCTCTAAACAATAGGAACCACAAAGCTTAGGTCCCTGAGCCAAAGACACTCACTGTCAGAAGACAGCCTTTTCTGTGACTTCCCTCCTGTGCTTCCCCTCCGGTCTCCCTCTGCCTATGCTTACACTGTAGCTTCAAGGATCAGAGACTGCCATTTTCAGGGCCTATGGTAAGAGGCAGACTTTGCGAGTGTTGAGAGGTGGAGACAGGATGGCTGTCTGGGAGGCAACCAATGTGTCTAGCAAAATGTGCCTCCCCCCTCAATTTTTGAAGGCAGCTCCCAGAGTTTAGCCAGGAAAGGAAGCACTGCCCAGTGTCAACCATAATTAAAATTGATGTTAAATATTTATTTAGAAGTTTGGAATAAATATTCCTAGCTCATAATATATACTTTGGGAGGTTTCTGAGAAAATGCTGGAGTTTACAAGAAACACTCAGAAAAAAAAAAAAAAACAGTGAACTGTTGTAGGCTGAGAAAGACTGGTATAAACTGTAATTCAGCTGAACTTGTTTGTAGCAGTTTGGGAGAATCTGCCCTGGTCCATGATGACAAAAAGCAACTGGTACCACTGGATTCTTTCTACTTTTTAGAGCATTATTTCACCCAATCTTCATGATGAGCTTTTAATGTATATGATTAACGTCTTAATAAAACAGAACAAAACAAAACAAGGAAACCCCAGAGAAATAGATTAATTGGATCAAATGAGCCCAGTTAATAAATGGCACATATCAGATTTCATAGCATAACTTTTTCTACATGTCATTGTTCCTTTATTAAGCAAACAAGAGGGAAAATAAAAAGAAGGGAGGTTTGGGAAACCAGGAAGTGTGACAACCCAGAGATGTCAGCATTTCATATTTTGCCCTGTCAGCCTCTATAACAGAAGTACCTTCATACGTCACATCCATGTCAACAAACAGAAATGTGACCCCAAAGTACTATTTATCATGGTTACTTTCCACCGGGTATCAAGAACATCTTAGTCATTCAATCATCCATTTTGTTTGTTTGTTTGTTTGTTTGTTCATTTTGTTGGTTTGGTTTTATAACTACTCAATATGCTGGTGGGTGGATCTAGAATGAGTCCCTTTTAAATGTATGCATGATTATAGTTTCATAGACAGACTGCCATGTATTTGCCAAACTCCATTTCTTCTGTTGCCAAGAACAAAGATGAAGAGCATTTCACAGCTTCCCATCTGTTAGGGAGCGATGGTTGTCTCCTCAACCAACATGAACAGAGGTAAGTCACCTCTATCCTTACAAGCTCAACATAAATTTCATCCCTCTGCCCGCCTTCTTTCACATAGATGAGCCAAAGCCAAAACAACTTCTTTCTTAAGGGAATTGTCTTTAATTTTTGTGTATGAGGATTTCATACATCCGTGTACCACATGTGTGACCAGTGACCAAGGAGGCCAGAAGAGGGCATTAGGAACCTGGGAACTGGCATTACAGACAGTTGTTATCCATCCTGTCAGTGCTGGGAAATCAACCTCAGTCGTCTGAAATAGTAGCTAGTGCTCTTAACTGCTAAGACATCGCTCAAGCCCCAAGATGACCTTGTGAGAACTCCTAAGAGTGTTAAAGTGAAGCTGCTTGAGTCCCTATACACTCACCAGAGACATCCTTGTGAGCAAAACATTTGTGCCCAATTCTTAGGAGCCTTTGTGGATAAATCTTTGTACAAAGATCTACTTCTTTACAGAAACTGTATTCCTAGAAATAGAATTGCTCTTCAAAACATGAAAACTTCGTTTTTGAAATTATTTTCCAGAAAGCTTGCATATTGTTTAAAATTCCTATTGACAAGGCAGTAGGAATTCCCTGAATGGCTTACACTTCAGGATTTAAC